AAGAGGAGTGAGGCCACAGGGCCAAGCCTGGCTTGCTTTTATCCAGCTGATATACTTCTGCCTACCCTCTCGGAGGCTAAATATCAAGACCTGGAAAAAGCCGGGACCCTACCTGCAAGCTCTTCACCTTACTTCTGCCTCTGTCTTTGCCCCAAATTATCTCCTCTTCCTCCCTCGGTGTGTGGGAGTTTCCCCACCAGCTCTGTTTAATATCCACAATTTGCTTTTGTTTTGTGAAGGGCAGTGGAAATCTTCACTGCTTTTTACTCTCAGATTCTGTCATTGAAGATTGTTGTCTCACTAAAAATTTCAAAGGTTAGCTCTGAAACTCAAAGCTGACTAGAGGCCAACCTTTGTTTACATAGTAGCCAGCTTCCTCCTGACAGGAGAAAGGCCATCAATCCAGGGATGGGGGACAGTAAGAATGAGAATTATAGGATATGGAAATGCATTTGAAGATATTTCAGAGAGTAATGCACCTGTTACAGGTAGCAAACATCTTAATTTTAAAAAGTAAATAATTTTAATACTCATATAGTCATGCTTTAATAATCTATCTCTATATATCAAAACATCACATTCTACTTCATAAATATAATATGAGTATGATTTGTCAATCAAAAATAATATTAATAAAAAAAATAAAATAAGGCATGAACCTATAATCCCAGCTACTCTGGCTGAAGTGGGAGAATCTCTTGAGATCAGGAGTTCATGGGCAGCCTGGGCAACACAAAGAGACCCTGTCTCACAAATAAATAAATAAATAATCTATTCATCGTGGTGATACAAATGCAGATTCAATCCAGTTGTTTGTTATACCCTGCAAATGTTTAATAAAAAGAAAAATATCTTACTCAAATTCACCAAATTTTCATGAATCACATCACCAAACTATCAGAATTAAAAATAGGAAAATTGAAATTTGGGTGTCATTTTTATGGTAAATCTCAGTTTTCCATGTTCTATAAAGTTCGGAATGATTATAACATTTCATTCCCTTTGTATTTAGTAGTAAATTCATTCCAAGTACCACATACTTTGGTTTACATTTATATCAGTCTATTTTCTACAATAGACTGATAAGTTGTTAAGTAATAATACTCAATTTAAGTATTTCTTTGACACCTTGGAAAATTATTTTAAAATACCAAGGAATGGTCACATATATGAGAATGCAATATTGTTCTCACTTTGACTTTTAATTTGTTAACGTTCTTGTTTCTTGTATTTAAAAATTAGCACGTAGCTATTATTTATTTGAATATAAATATTCCATTTTATTGCCCCTCCCCCACAAGCATGGAAGGATGTACTAAATATTCTAAGCAGAAGATGAAAATATGTGTTTGATTTTAGGTAGAGAATCTAGCTACCGCTCCAGTGTCTCTGAGAGTTCCTGTATGGCTGGTTCCCTGGAGTGTCTACTCTGGGCCAGACCACCAGGAGCTCATGATTAGGATAGTGGGCATAGGGACTATGAGGAATTCTTGTCACAGCATACCTAAAATGTGTTGGGTACCACAGGTTATTTCATGGACTGCAAATCTTTATCTCCCAGCCTAATTCCTACTCCCAACTTAGAATACTCTCTCCTTTCACTATGTATGTATCCTCTATATCCTACCCTATGGGGAGGATTAGGTCCAGGTTTAGCTTGTCCCAAAGGACCTACCCATTCATAACCATTTGTTGACTTTAGAAATTTAGGGTGCACGTGCTTCTGGAATTCTCTCCCTATTTTCTGTTTATGGAAGATGCAGTCATGCAATCCCATGCAATTTTAATACAATATGACAAATTTTATTATATGATTAGATACAGTGTTTTATGGAAGCGTAGAAATGGGACACCCCATTTTTCCTGGGAGGGTCAGAGGGCTTCCCAGAGGAGTGAAGCCTGAGTTAGCTTACAGATTAATCATGGTCTTCCAATTGAACAAGATGGGAAGTATATTTTTGGAAGAGCAAAACTCAGCGAGGGGCAGGACCTTGTCTATCTTAGCCACCATTTTATCTCTGTCACCTTAGCATATCGTACACACTTAAATAGTACATCAATGAATGAATGACTTTATCTCAAAGGCCATTGAAATTTGCCATTTTGAGCAGGGCACTAGATAAGATTTGTGTTTTAGAAAAAAAAATATGTACCATTGTAGTAAGTGAATAAAAAGGGAATGAGATAAAGAACAACTGTAATAACATATTCTGAAGATATTCTACAAAACCTCTAGCAAGAGATTCCTTTTAAATGACCACCAAACTTACTCCAAATAGTTAGAGGTTCTGTGTACTCTGCACTGAACACATGATAGTTTTAAAAGTTTGTTTCAAGAAGGAACAATCATTGCCTACTTTCACCCTTTAAAAAGGCCTAAGAAGATTTGGAAGTAATTCACTGCATATTTAAGAGCTGCCTTCTCAATGCTTTCTAAGAGACGGACAGTTGACTTTTTCTAATGACCTATTGTATAGGCAATGAATACAGCCTAGTACCTCGTTTTGTATTTGTAATTCATAGTGGGTCCATGAATCGTCAGTATTGAGAATAGTAATCTGGGGCTTATATGGTGAAAGACACATGGCCCATAACTGATTCTTGTTTTCAGAGTGAAAAACTGAAGACAAGCCAAAAAAAAAAAAAAAAGTCTTACAGAATCCTGTGTTCCTGTGCAACAAATTATTACAAACTTAGTGGCTTAAAACTATGCCCATTTATTAGTTCACAGTTTTGAAGATCAGGAGTCCAAGCATGGCCTGGTAAGGTTTTCTGCTCAGGATATCACGAGGCTGAAATCAGATTTGGCCAACGTGAGTTCTTGTCTGTAGCTCTGGGGAAAAATCTGCTTCCAAAGTCATTCTCTTGTTGGCAGAATTTGGCACTTGGGGGTAGTAGTACTTAGGTCCTTGTTTCCTTGCTGGCTGTCAGCTAGCGGTTGCCCATAGCTCAAAGAGGCCATCTATATTCCTTGCCATGTGGCCTTTTCTATCCTGAAGACATCAATTGATTTGTTAAATCCTTTTCATGCTTCCGGTTTCCATCTTCCTTTGTTGTAGACTTCTAGACTAAGATTTAGAAGATATGTGATTAGGTTAGGTCCACCCAAATAATCTGTCTTAAAGTTTATGTGCTATATATATATTTTTAATTATATGTATACACACACATATATATTATAATCACATTCCTAGGGATTATGCAGAACATATTAACCAGTTGGGGGGGATCTTGGGGACTGTCTTACTATTCTGCCTATCAAATTATTATTTGTAAAAAACTTTTAAAAATAAAGTTGCAAACAGTCTCTTGCATAGTGAAACCAAAGCACTCAGGAGGAACACATGAAATATATGATTTAATTAATATTTTGCTTGAAAACCAGTACATCTTTTAATGAGTTTGTTTTCTTACATCTGACTTTGACAGATCTATTATAAATAATCTTTAGAAATTTACATGTGTGTGATTTATTCACTTCTAAATATTACTACTGTTTACATTACCAAAAAAAAAAAAAAATCCAAACCCCAGAACCATTTTCATATCTACTATTGGGAATGAGGAGAAGGGGTAGCTTTTAGTTTGTATAAGAAGAAATAAACAACAGCATATAATGTATACAAAAATACTAACAAGTAGCATATAATGTATACAAAAATACTAACAAGTCAAAGTGAGTTTTAACAGTGAGGTCTTTGTTAAGTTCACTTGAGTGGTAAAGTAAGTTATCTTTCAAAGTCTTTTGGACTTTCTGGATTTAAAGGAAGGTCGGAGAGTTTGACTAACCATACAGTTAGTCGGTGTCAAAGTTATAGAGAACCAGTTCTGCACACAAGTCTACCCTCACTTTTGACACCGATTTCAAGTTCAAGGGGTTCCTAAAATCATTCTCTGGTTTGACAATTTGCTTGAAAGACTCCCAGAACCCATTGAAAGCTGTTATACTCACAGTTACAATTTATTACAGACAAAGGATGCAGTTTAAAATCATTGAAGGGAAGAAATACTTAAAGTAGAGTCTGGGGAATTATCTAAGGTGGAACTTCTATTGTCCTCTCACCATGGAGTCAGGACACCTTACTGTCCTGGCACTGGTATGTGAAAATATGCACAGAGCATTGCCAACCAGGAAAGATCACCTGAGCCTTTGGTGGCAGAGTTTTTATTGGGACTTGACCATATGCTGTCCACATGGCTGACTTTTAGTCTCTAGCCCCTTTTGAATGTTGATGTTGGGCTGATACCATTAGTTTCTACTCCCTTTTAGAGGCAAAACCGATATTGCATGGCTCCAACCACCCATCATAAATCACATTGTTAGATTGTTCAATGGCCAAAGCCTTCAGGCAAACAAAGATATTCCCATGACATTTTGAGTTCCAGGAGATTACCTTCTGGTAGCCAAAGGCAAATGCCTCTCTCTCTTTGGTCAAGTTTAATTCTTCACTATGGTGATGGGGAGGGAGAGAAAGAGGAAGACAGTATACTCTGTGTCAGGCAGTATGCTAAGCTTTGTCTCCCTTAGTCCTTTGAACAACATTATTAGAAAGATCTATAATTATACTTATTTTACAGATTGCTGGATTTAGCAGAATTGAGTAATTTATCCAAGACCATGTGAATAGTAAATGGCAGAACCTGGAATGAGACCTCCAAAGGACATGATCTCAAACACTTCACTGAGTTGCTTCCTCCAAAATAAGAGTATAATAATGTGCAATGGAATAAGCATTTAGAAGCAATTATTCCTGAGAATTGAGTTTTCAGAATAAAGTTGTCATTTAAATTTTTAAGAAAGTGCACTACTCATCTAATATAATGTAATAACGTATCCATTATAATGTATATAAATTATATGTATAATAATGATACAGAGGAAGGAGGTTGATATAGAGAATGGTTATTTTATTCAATTCATATCTTCCGAATGGATTCCAATCAACACTGTATCATTTCATTAATTCAAACCCACTTACGGGATGTGTGTTATATCCCAGGTGCTGTGCTGGCCATTGGTAACCCAAAGATGATGGAAAATAAGTTCCTGCCCACAAGGAGTTAGCAATCCACTGGGGTATGTAAAATGTTTATTTTATTATTTTTAATATGTTTGTTAAACAAAACATAGCTGAATATGTAAGAAATGTTTTGCATGCAAATTTTACAAGCATTTGGAAGAATCTTTTTTTTTTTTTTACTGGATACGCTAATGCTAAAGAAAGTTGATAATTTGGAGATTGTTTTTCTTGTAATCAAATCAATGAATTAAACTCTTTCAGCTTCAATTTTTGTAGATTCCATAGAAATAGGATGGATTTTTAAATAGGAAAACTACTTATAAAAAATCCCACTAAGACTTGTATGTCTTTCTTACACTTGTATGTATTTCCTACACTTGTGTGTATTTGAAGGCAAATGATAGCAGCATAGGAATGCCACCAAAACACATCATACATAGCAATGTACATTTCTTCTTCACCTGTATAACATTGACTATTCTGCTTTTTGTTGGTCACTTTCATGATAATTGCTATCTTTCATCATCTTCTACTTCATCAATTTCTCCAAATGAGCAAAGTCTACATGTGATAAAGTAGGTACCCTTGCTTAGTTAATGCTGATTTTTGCCAAAATATGTATTTTTAGTCATGATAAAATTATAACAGTTTATTTTAGCATTTTGAGGTCTAGGAAGAAAAAGAAAAATATAATAGTTTATGCTTAACAGTAAACCATACAGTATGCTGGGAGTAGTCCTGAAGAACTAAATATAGTAAATACTATCATTATAAACAAGGAATATTTTATTCCAATGATACATTCTATATTTTATAGCTTTATATGGGGGGATAGAATTAAATAATAAAATAAGAAATTTAAGTTGAACCTAACATCCAGTAGTTCATGAAGATGGTACATAACCCTAACAATAATGTATTTGGGCATATTTATTTAGTGTATTAATATGCTACCAAGATTAATCATCATAACTGCTGAGAGTGCAGTTCTGATCATTTAAAAATGTTTTAAAACTCAAACCAGGAAAGAACATGCCTCTTTTGGCAATATGATTTTAATTTTTTAAAGCATTTATTACATAAACCATATCCATCATCTTTGCTTAGATAAATGTTGTGGCAATTTTTTGAATGAACGTCTTGGTTCCCTAAAGAAATTATGGATACACTATAAATTTACAAATGAAAGGCCATTCATCAGAGTTATAAATATGAGCAGAATATCTATTGGCTTTTGTGTATGGTTAGTACTGCAAAAGAATATAGATATTGTCATACTTACATGGTGTCATAACATTGGCAAAGTGTTGAGAACAACATGCAGTATTTTTTGAATAGCGTGGCATTTCTTTGAATTACTGCTGGCAACAGAACATAAATCAGCCGTAATGATAGATATTCCAAAGATGTTTATTAATCTATTCATTTAATTTAAAATACTCACACTTGGCATTTATAGAGCCAGTTCAAAGGAAGTGGCAAGTGCTTCTAAGCCCCAGCAGTTACTTTTAGGGGCCCCATAATTATGTCAGTTAAGTCTACTTGGAATTGAGATCAGAATGCATAAAAATCCTTTCCTGCTAATCTATGCTAAAGATACTTGTTTAACCAAAATATATTTTCTTGTGTGTGTCTAAACAAAACTTCAATTTATTTCACCATTAAATGAAACTTATTATATGACTTTTCTCTTTGAATACTCAGTTTTTAAAATCTATTTTTCTTCCTCCCTTTTTTCCTTTTTCACTCCCTATCTCCCTTCTTCCCTTTGTTTCTCTGTCTTTCTCTTTCTCTCAATGAGAAAATAATCCTGCCTTGTGTAAGCTTTGATGAAAAAACGACTGGAAAACTGACAAAATTCCTACGTACTAAATTAATAAATAGCACATGGCATATGATTTTGACAATATGGAGTAAGATTAAAAACAGGTAGAATGGACTCTGCAGTCAAGAGTACAGATAGGAGAATTTAAATTAGATAGGAAGGGTCAGAGAAAGCCAGTAATAGTTAAGCTGAAGAAGGAGTCCAGCAATGTAAATGTTGTGGAGAAGGATGGTATGTATGTGTGTGCATGTACCTTATTAACATATGAAAAATCTGGGCACAGAGCTAATATCTGGATTCCAAAAAATGTAAACAGGACTCAATTTCTCTCCATCTCTCAGCTTCCACTAATATGATGGCTTCAGTCTCTGGCTTCATTTGGTAGCAAGATGGTGGCAGGAGCATTGCTTCCACTGGAACTTTCTCTCAGTCAAGCTGAAAAAGAGAGGGCCTCTTTCCCAGAAGCCCTATTGAAATTCTCTTTGAACTAACTTGCTCTCATTACATGATGGACTTATCCTGTGTGCTTCTCTTGGAGCAGAGGGTAGAATCGGTTTTTAAATTTTCCATGGAGTAGGTGTTGGATTTGTATCCCAGAGGGAAATGGGGTACTTTTAATTGCATGGATGCTACATGGCAAAAAAAGAATGGTTTGCTGCCCTGAAAAATCACAATGGGTACATATTTGTGAAGTTTTGTCCGTAATTCTAGACGCTTGTGCATTTCCTATTGGATTCCAGGTTAGAAAACTACAAAAGTGGCATTGAATCAATGCCTTCTGGAACAAACAAAAACCAGCATTGATATCCATCACAATCTAGGACAATGAGTTCTTACTAGGAATATTTCTTGCATAAAGAGACCAAATGAGTATAACATATAACTAATAGTTTAAATGATGATATCAAATTAGGAATAGAAAGAAGTTACATCGTTTTGTTAGCTAAAGTGGAAATGGACGGTTCAGCCTGAGGTGGAGCTTTCTTTAGTATTATTTGTATAAGAAAAAGAGGCAAAATATTTTATTCAAGGTAAGGACTTTCTAAGAAGACCTATGTTTTAAAAAAAGAAGGTTTCTAATGTTGGTTCAACAACTTTTATTGCTATGGGAGCTTATATCTGTATGCATCCTAAATCCCTTCAATTTAGTTCAGTTAAAAAAGTATTAATTAGGTCTATGAAAGTAATTTGTAAAGGAAATCATTTTTGATAATTGGACCACATTGCCTGTTGATTTGCTGATTTTTTTTGTCTTTGTAGCCATATTTTATTTTGGAACATGTTGGCGAAGTCAGTTATTTTCTCAATAATTATTTTTAATTGAGAAGTTTAGAGAGAAATGGTAGAAGGTTCGGGTCAATCATAGGAAAATGTGGATATTTATAAAATGCCTACCTAGGGATTATTTTTCATTGATATTGGGAAGCAAATAACTTTTTAACAAGGTGAGGACTAGAGTAGGCAATCACTGAGATGGAAGTCATAATTATGCTTTATTTTTACATAGGTTCCTCAGTTTATTGGCAAGAAGGAGTTAGTCTGGGGTTTTAAGTTGCTTCACTGAGCACAACAGGAGTTTTTCTTTTTAAGTGAATCAAAATATCAAAAATGGGAAAGAATTCCATGCTTACCAGATTTTTTAAAAGAATAAACATGTTAAATGAAAAAAGGGAACACTGTGTCACTTTTTGTCTCTTTGTACAAATAAAAACTCTCTGAAGTTAGCACTATTCCTCATGAATGGATAAGCTTTTTAACCAAAATCTTCCATTTATGACTAAAAGGGAGTGAGTTGTTACTGTTCCTTGTTAAGTTTAATACCCCCAGTTGTGAAGAAGTACATCATTTTTTCTCCTACCAATTAATGCCTCTGAAATATAGCTATTTTGGGCAACGACCAGTTTTCAAAATATTTCTACAAAGGCCATAGTGTATCTGACTATTCAGATTAACATGTTATTTAAAAAAACAAAAACAGAAACAAAAAAAAACATCTTCCCCAAAACCTCTGTTTACCACCAGTTCTTACTTCAGTTGAGAGGTTTGTGGATCTCTTCTCACTGTGTGTGTGCGTGGTTTTTGTTTTGCTTTGCTTTCTAGATTACAACCTGTCTTTACACACTGTCAGTTGTCTGTGACTAGGAAATAACAGGTAGTTCCTTCCCTGAACACTAGCTTACAGATTTTCTTGCTATACATTCTTTATTCTGTATTACAAATCCAAATTTAATTTTAACTGAGATAGGGAAGTGCTTCTCTCTGTAGTAATATCAGTCATCAATAGAGTTTGGAGGAGAAGTGAATTTCTCACTTACATAAAGAATAAAGGACAAATTTATTCTTAATGTATAAGAAAAATTTTGTTATTCTTCAACTTTGGCTAAAACAAATCAGTGGATATTTTTAAGGCTGTGGGTTAAGGCAGGACAAATATGTCATATCTGTCATCCTTTCTAAAAGCATAAATAAGATAGAGGACCAAAAAACTGTAAGAGAAGTCCAAATAATGTTTTTCTTATGCTATGTCCAGTTCAGCTGTGTAGGTGTGAGTTTCACATAAGATTAAATTCTTTTACAGATGTGAATTGTGAAAACATTCCCTATTATAAATTTGAAAGGCTTTTTAGGGAGAAGAATGAGTTTAAATCCAGGACCCCAAAGCATAGACTTCTAAAGACATATGCCTCTCCAAACAGGACATGAGCTGAGGAGTGAACAGCGAGAGAGAAAATCCACATACATATTTGAGTTTCACTTTAGGACTCTTGATAGCTTTGGTCACTGGGAATTTTCTCTAACTGGGAGTCACAGAGACAAAACAGATAATCTAAATAATCTTTCCCAGGTTTTCTAAAAGTGCCTGGAGATGAAAACATGTCAGACAATCGTTCCAATAGGGCCTGAAGGGTTTCTGTTTGTTTGTTTTAAATCCATTCTTTCTGAGCAGGAAATAAAAAAAAAAAAAAAGCTTGAGGTTGGTGACAGATTTGGGTTCTTGCCACATTCCCAGCTCACTTCATGGACATCTCTTCTACTTCAGAGAAAGTTAATACTTTCCAGAGATGTTCCATAGGTATTCTAAATCATACACCAGACACCTGCTCCTATATATGGGTATGTTATTCACCTAGGATGAATCAGAGTTGATTTTTTTTTTTTTTTAGTGTGCTTCCTTTCAAAAACCTCATTAATCTCAGTGTGCAGAATTTAGGGGGAAAGTTGTGTTTTGCC